AAAAAACTTCTTTTTTTTTTTTTGTAAAATATCCGGAAAATGAACCAATCAAATGAAATGCATTCTTCTCGCAATTTTCAAAAAAAAAAGGAAAGTTTTTCCAACTTCTTTTTTTAATTTTTCCTTTTCAAATCTTACGAATAATTTTTGCCTTCCGAACAAATGAAATTAGTCACACTTAATTGTTAGTTAATTAGTTAAATTAAACTAATTTAATTCATAAAAGATAAAGGTTTAAACAATGAAAAATTAGCGACTTTTTTTTTTTGTTATAATTACCTTGAATTTCACAAAATAAAAAAAAAAACACAACAATTTGCTACAAATATTTCAGGAAATTTATTGCAAAAATTAAAATGAAATTTAAAAAAAGTTTAAAATATCTTTGTGTTATGAATATGAAAAATAATAAAAAAATTGAAATTATTTTTTTGAAATTAAAAAATTTTCATCAAAAGCATAATATTTTAATAATATTCAAAGTACATTTTTAGATTGGAAAAAAATGAAATATATTGCAAATATAATTCATTTCCAATATTAATTTTGCAAAAAAAAAAATAAATAATTTAAAATTTGACTGAAATTGTAAAATTTTGCAATTAATTGAATGAAAATGAAAATATTTACAGCGATATTTACGATTAAATTTTATATTTTTACGATTAAATTTTGTGATCTGTTTTAATTATTTTCCCAGATAATAAACTTTATTAATTTAAATTTCATTTAATTTATCAAATTTCTTAATTACACCTATCATATATTATCATTATCAGTATTATACTTCGCATTTCTACTATTCCATAATAAAGCTTATCGATTATTTCATTATCATTATTGAGATACATTTACAATAATTACATTGATATTGTCTTTGTTGACAATTCCTATAATGACATAAATTTAATGTGCAAAATTTTTGTATTTAAAAAATTAGTTTGAAAAATTATTTAAAGTGTTAAAATACTTTGAAAATATTTCAAAAAGAAAAAAAATCATTTTTTTCATTTTTTTTTAAAAATTTTATTTAAAATTTTATTTTACACATATTTTCATAAATATTATGCAACAAATTATTGCATTACAAAATTATTTGCTACTATTTCAGAAAATTCTATTTAAAAAAAAAAAAAAAACTTGACATTTAAAAAAAAAAACAAAACTGTCCTTAAGTAAAATGAATAAGGAAGTAAACGGAAAATGAGTAAAAATTAAGTAACAAAAATAAAAAGAAAGTGACAAAAGAAAATGACAAATTTTTTAGTTCCAAAAATAAAAATATTAATACAATTAGTAAAATTTGCATAAAAATTAAATGATAAATTTAAAAAAGATTAATTAACAATTTATTGTTGTTGTTGTATTAGAAAAGCAAAAACGAAAAAAAAAAAACAAAATTATTATAAATTATTTAACATCTAATGAGTAATTAGTTCATTATTCATTTCAAATTAAATGAATATAAAATAAAATGGCATACGCATATTGTAATATTACATATTGCTAAAATTATTACACAATTTATTCTATATATATGTATATGTGTTTCTTTCCAATGATAAAAACAATGCAATATTACTGATTAATTAATTAATTAATTAATTGGTTAGGAAGAAAAGGAAAGAAGATAGTAGAAGGTAGTGGAAGAAAAAATTAAAAATAAAAACGAAATAGTATAAATAATTGAATGAAAAATTTAAATAATAGATTATTAGAAAGAAATGAAAATGATGAAAAGAGGGAGGTAAACAGAGAGAGAGAAGAAAAAAAAGAAGGAAAAAAAAAGCGGAAGATGAAGAAGCAATTTGGACTAATATATATTCATTAAATAAATTAATAGCTATTTTCTTTTTTAAAGATTGATGAATGAAAATTTTTGTTTGGTTTTTAAGAAGTAAAAATTGGTTGTAAAAAAAAAAAAAAAACTTTAAAGCTATTGTGGCGCTTTTCATAGTGAACAATTTGCGCCACCTGTCCTATACATATATATTATTATTCACTTTACAACTTGCCAAACACGACAATCAACTTCTAAAGCTAATTTTTTTTTTTTTTCTTTTGCTAATTATACATCTTTGAAGGTTTTTCTTTTTCCCTATTTTTTTTTCTTTTCTTCTTTCTCTCTCCCTCTCTCTCTCTCATACTTTCTTCCTTTTTTACAATAAATTAAAATATTAATGGGATGAATGAATGAATAACAATTGTTATACTGATAATGATTTACTGATATATCAGCTATCATTATTTAACCATATCATCAAAATAATTATCATAATATTATGATAAAAGTGCAAATTTTATCATTAAACTAATCATAACATTTCATTATTTGCTCATATCAAATTATCACTACTGATAATAGCTTATGGGAGCTAGAATAGATTAAATTAAATGGAAGATAGTACAAATTAGAAACGAATATTATCATATCAGATAATAAATTTATCATCGTTATCAATTTGAAAAAAAAAATAATGAATGACAAGAAATTGCAAAATAAACAAATCAAAAAAAAAAAAAGAAGAAAAAAAGAAACAAAGTTTAATTTTATAAATTTATTGCTTATCAAAATTAACGCGAAAAAATTTTGTCCATTTAAGCATAATTGAAATATCTTTGGCTATCTATGAATTCAACTTATCATTCATCATTTATTTACATTAGAGTTTATTATGAGTAACTGATAAATGATAAGCTTTGAATTATTCCATGGTATAATAATGAATTGAAATTATATTTAATTGTGATGTGAAACAAATGAGGGATAAATAAGGATTTAATGATAGATTTGAAAAAAAGGTATGAAATTTCACAACTTTTATTAGTTGTTAAATAAAATAAAAACTGAAAGGATGAATTATTTTGCTGAGAAATGTTTAAAAAGTGAGCTTATTGCTCGGAATTTTTTCGAATTTTCAAATATTCCCATATTTTTATGTAAAATTTTTGGCTAATAAACAGATTACTGATATGATAATATCAGTGAAACAGATTATCGATATGATGATATCAGTGAAACAGATTATCGATATGATGATATCAGTGAAACAGATTATCGATATGATGATATCAGTGAAACAAACAGATTATATTATCGAAATAACAATGAGAATGAAAACAGTGTAAATGTAAATGCTACAAATTAATGTTTCTTCTGTTACTTCATACAACCAAATGTTACCAAGAGATTGAATAGGTTAGAGGTAAAACCGGATCCGGTTTGAATAATAATCACTTAATAGAATTGAAGCATTATTTAATACCCTATTTAAAGGCTCTTTTTAATAAGCGTATAAATTAACAAATTAACAAGTGAATATGAAAATTAATTAATGATTAAATGATAAGTAATATCATAAATATATTTCTCAAGTAAACATATCTTGCTATTAGAAAAAAATTTGCATAAAAAAAAAAGAAAAAAGAATTAGTGTAATAATTAGATGTCAATTATCACCAATGAAGGATTTTGATCAGAAAAATTTGCTAAAATTTAGTTTGTAAACTTAGCTTTGTTTTTTTTTTCTTTTTTTTTCCTTCTATTAAACAAGCAAATTCTCCCATGACAACGCATTTTTTTTGCAAAATAATTAAGCAAATGCTAACCAATAAAAATGAAAATGAAATTCGCAAAAAAAAAAAAAAAAAAAAAATTCAAATGAACAAATTTTATGAATTCCTAAAATATTTAACAAAAATTTAGTT